CTCACTCACCCACTCACTCACTCTCTCTCTGGGTGTGTGCGCCGTGGGTGGGTGGCTGGGTGGGTGGGGTTGGGTTGGGTTGGGTTGGGTTGGGTTGGGTTGGGTTGGGTTAGTTGGGTTGGGTTGGGTTGGGTTGGGTTGGGGTCGGGTTGGGAGAGATAGAGAGAGACAAGACTGAGAGATGTTTTCTTAATTGTTTCCTGTGCAGGCATGGAGCCTTCTACCGAAATCGAGGCCGATGGCAGCCCCGGAGAGGAGGGAGAGGAGGAGCTACAAGAGGAACCGGAGGAGGAGGAAGATGATCCGGAGGATGATGCCGAACAGGGCGATGAAGACGAGTGTCATGATGATGAAGGATGGGATGAAGCTGAGGAGGGGGAGGGTGCCGATCAGGGTGACGGCACCGGCGATGATGATGATGATGAAGGGATACCGACGTCGGGGTATCCGGATGACCCTGATGCCCCCGAACCGCCTGCTGCAGCTTTCACATCCAAGCCGCTCCCTGGTTGCACATGATCCGCTGGCAGCTGTGTGTATGCGTGCATGTGTGTGGGTGAGTAAGTGTATAAGTGTTATAAGCTAGTGTAACCGTGTGAATTAACACATGTGTTTTGGCATATGTGTGTGGTACAATGCACAGATATCGGCCAGGAAGCCGATCCTGCGAGCACCCTCGAGCATCAGTGTGGCCAGTCTGGCGTCGAAGAGTTCCTCAATCAGCCCGGTGGGCGTGCGGAATGAGGAGGGCAAGGTGAGGAGAGCCCGGACCCTATATATACCCATTCAGGTGCACACTAGCTTGTGACATGACCTTCTCATTCAGAACCTCACGAATCCCAGCTATAGGTCAGAGTCCTGGACGAGGCGACCCGCAAGAAGATCCAGGACAGACTGCCAGCATTAATTATCTCAACGACGAAAGCAAGCCCAATTAACTCTTGCGAACAGGAAATGACGCACCCGAACCAGATGGATGCCGGGGAACGTCGCCGGCAGCGCGAGGCCATGAGGAGGCGCATGGAGAATCCTCGAGGAGACAATCAAATGCTCAAGTGCCCGTTGATGTTGGTCAACCGATCCCTCAACTATAGAGACTTCCCACGCAGGACTGCCACCGGGTTTGCTCGAGAAGTGGGAAGCAACAACGACAGCCACCGGCAAGCTGCTCGACATATTGTAGCAATTATCATGAGATCGCTTCTCCGTACTTAATATTCTGAAATCTGACCCCTTGCAATCCTGAGGTTCGAATTCTTAAAGGCCTTTATGCTTGACCCCGACATGACGAACATGTACATCGAGACGGTGTACAGCGAGTGCTCGGGCAGCATTTTTTCTTTGATCCACATCCACTGATTACTCATGATGCACATGGTCGGTTGCATGCATGCACTCCTTTCACGCTTTGTCTTAGGACTTCGGAGAAGCGAAACGAAGGCCACTACATCGAACTCCCGCTCCACGAACTACAGGAAAAATACGAGAAGACAGAAGAGGGCCGACGATTTCTTCGCGATGATATATTGGCGAAACAAAGTGGACGCGAGCATCCACAAGCAAAGGGCAATCCCGCCTGGAGGCTGTACAAGGTCTACCAACACGGAAAAGAAATCAGCAACTGTGATGAATTGATATAGAGATGTTTACATGTAGAAAGAAGCACGAGAGAGAAAGAGGCAGAGAGAGAGAGAGATAGAGCATATAAGACACACGACGTCCTAGGTGCCAGCGTGAGCAAGGTGGGAACCAAGACCACAGCCAAGAAAAACGTCGGGAAAGCCGACGCGGCCACGAAGAAGAAGCTCGGGGAGATCCTGACTTCCCAAGCTGCCGATTTTGTGAAGGGTACCGAAGAGAAGAAAAAGCCGCCGACCAAGGAACCCAAGGACAGCGCCGCGACACATCACTTGATTCGACTAACTATACACAAATTTCGCAACCCTGCATGGAATGCTCATACAACATCACTTCGCTTTGCAGGTTCTGACGGAGGAAGAAATCAAGAAGAGAGACTTTGATAAGACTATGCAACAGATGCTTGGCTTATAATACATTCATGTGTGAACTTTTGCCATCAAGTCGCTGCCAGCATGCAATGTACAGTCTTGGAGTCTTGGCAGCTCGAGCATGATGTGTCCGAGGATCCTCGCCTTGGCTGGAAAGGCCCGAACGGCGGCCCAGAGCTTGAAACGGTCGGGGATGGAACGCCAAGAGGCCTGGATCCACGTTAAACTGTATTTAAATGGTTTCAAGACCTTACAGGTTATACTGTAGGTTATCTGAATCGATCTGCAGTAGCATAATCTCATCTACATCCCCATCCGAGATCGATCCGCTGTGGTGGCTCGTATTTACATTCTGCCTCCTGCAGTTCATAGCATCAAAAAAACCACAATCCCCCACGTAACACAAGCCCCTAAACCCGCCAACCCTAAACCCCCCCAAACCCCTAAACCCCTAACCCCTCCCCCCCCCACACCCCACACTCCAAACCCCTAAACCCCTCCAACCCTAAACCACCCAACCCTAAACCTCCCAACCCTAAACCCCCAACCCCTAAACCTCCAAACCCCAATGTTCATCGATCGGTGCTGCAGGCCAACATCGCCCACATGCAACGCACGCATCAAGAAACGATGGATGTTCATGCAGAGTGCCTCGCTCTAATCAGATTCAGACGACCTAGACGCAGATGTCGTTATCAGTCACGTACTGCATGCATGCATGTGCCTCCCAGGATCAACGACGCCGTCTTTGCTGGGTACGATGATGAATATGTCTACGCAAAGGTGGAGGAGAAACGACCCCAGATCGAGGTTGGGTCAAGCTCGATCATAATTACCCCGGAGTTACTCTTAAGGTGACATCAAACCGTCGAGTAATGCAGAGCCGGCTCTTTCGGATGATGTGTTGCAGCACGTGGCAGCATGCAGGCCGCCAACAAGGCCGTCCTTGAGGCGGAGGATATCGTTGCCGGTCACTACCGACGCTTCTTGAATGCACTTACAGTGTTCCGCTTGTGCAAGCTGAGTCTCGATCTGCACTGCAACATATGCATGAGCTTACTACAGGCTTGGCCGCGCAGAAGAAGAAAGCAGAAAAGGCTGCTGCCAAAGAAGGTGGCACCGATGCAGAGAATACCGAGTCCTGGGACGCCGAAGCGTGGGAAGCCTGGGAATCCGAAGGGTCGCGATCGGCCAAACGAGCCCGCCACACCTAAGATGCAGCACTGCAAATGCAGTGCCGTAGGGAGCCGAAGGATTTAGAATCGGCAGCTGTGCATGCTGGGTCGGGCCT